ATGAAACGATCAAGTGAACGACATGGCTGATCTCACCACCTCCGCGGCAATTGGCACTGCGGTGCATTCGTCTTTGAGGTCGACCTTCCCGTCCTCACCTCCGTCACCGAGTGCAACTGCAGCATCTGTCGCCGGAAGGGGTACATTGGGGACTTCCCTATCAGCCGCGATGTCTTCCGCATCGTCAAAGGCAACGAGGACGACCTAGCGGTGTACGAGTTCGGGGCCAAGAAGTACGAGCACAAGTTTTGCGCCACCTGCGGCACGGCCGTCATCATGAGCGTCAAGAGCGACGCCTCCATCATGGCGTTGAATGTACACGTGCTGCAGGGGGTGGATACCTGGGCGCTGGAGAAGAAGCGGTGCGTGCCCGTTCTGCGGTTGGGGGGTCCTCCGATGGAGAGGGATGCTGACGCAGACTTGCAGCTTTGATGGCGCATCGAGTGATCCCAAGCCCGCACCCCGAACGTATGATGGCCCACTGCCGGAGATGGTAGACGGGGGCAAGCTGTACACAGGCAGTTGCCACTGTGGCGCCGTGCAGGTCGCGCTCGCGAGCAAGCCTCTCGACGAGAACTTTCCTGGCGGCCTTGGCGAATGTAACTGCAGTATCTGCGAAAGGGTTAGAAACTTCCCCGAATGTTCCCTTTACTCCTGAAATGGGGCATCTCGAGAGGGACGGCTTACATATGTTTCCAGAATGCGTACATCTGGGTGTGGCCGATGCGCGAACAAGTGGTTCTTTTCGGCGACGAGAAGAACATCTCGCGCTACGAGTTTGGCAAGAAAAACATGGGTAAAATGTTTTGCCGCATATGCAGCGTACACATGACCAACTTTGCCGCCGAAAAGTCGGAGGAAGAGCTCGCTGCCATGTCTGGCGAGGAGCGTGCGTACTTTGAAGGGGGTAAGGCACGGCATCCCGTCAACCTGCGGGTGATCGAGGGTCTGGATCTGGATGCTCTTCGAGGCAAGATCACGCGGATCAAGGGGGCCGAGGCGCCGCCAGCATATGTAAACCCGTAAGGTCAAGTAGAATGACACGAGGAGTTGATGCCAGGAAGTAGGTGTGCACCTTTTGCCTAGCAACGTTCTTCCCGGAGCAAACGCCTGTTTATGAATAATGATGCATTGTTCCTGGTGCTGCTTTGATAGGATTCCTGGCAATCATGAGCAGCGTGGCCAAGTCAAGGCATTGAAGGGACACATCGTTTGTGAGCCTCCAAATTTGTGCTCTGGTTTGCTGGGCAGATATTTCAACACATGTGCCCATCTGTTGAAGGGGGCAGGTGCCTCAGCAGCGCCTGTCCTGCGACACCGTTTGGATGCTTGTGGTTGTTTCTCCTCCGAAGACGCGCTTTCGGAAGTGAGGTGCTATCTCTTGTAGCGAAGTAAAAAGCGCCCGTCCGGCTGACAACCTTGTGTCGATAGTCAACCATCGGGTACCAGAGACACTTCTACGCACCTGGCTTACACAGCGGATTCCCATCGTCATCGAATTGGGCCCACTGAAAGAACGAGCATCCTTCCTTGCCGGGAACGTTGCCGCCATGGCACATCCAGAAGTACTTTCCATGGTTTTCCTTCTTTCTCTGTACCACACGAAGAATACATGGAATGCGACAGTCACACTTGGGTGTCGAGTTGGGATGCATGTTGGCCTTGTAGTCTCGGTATGTAATGTTGATCCGCCGGTTACCAGCGATGGGATGCGGATCGATGGACTGTGCCGGCGCAATGCTGTGCTTCCACTCCTCTTGCATCTCGGCATGCATGACGAGGAGCGAATTGTGCGGAAGATGAATCGCGACCTGGCCTTCTGCATCGGGGTCTTCCGAGACGTTGTCGGCATCTCTGGGGACAATCTTGCGTACTCTGAACTCTCGAGCCACGCCAAGAGATATGGAGCCGATGACGGCACGGGGGCCGAGGTAAGTGAGCTGGTCGCTGTGCCAGCCGACGTTTTGTTGGGGACCATTGTAGCAGTTGACGAAGGCTGAGTTGGGCACCCAAGGTTTGGGAGACTGATAGCGCAATTTCTTGCCGCCGGGATACCTTGTCCTGATTCTCGTTTGCATCTCGCGGTTCACAGCGTCCTGGACCTTGGGCTTGACGAGGGCAAGCTGGGGTGTGATGCGACGCACATCGGTGAGTCTGGCGCCGTTGTAGAGGAACTCTGTCTTCTGCGCTCGCAGTTCGTCATAGCTTTCGACGTAGAAGCTAGAAGTGTGCGGACTCGCGACCACGGCGTCGAAAAGCTGAAAGGTGATCTTCTCGAAGGACTTGGATTCCTCGAGCAACTCGGCAAGAAGACTATTCGCTTCATCGGGAGGCAGGAAGTTGTGAATGATGGTGCATGGTGTGTGCTCTGCAATGTCTTTTGGATCATACAGGTGCAGAGTAGCACCTTTTCTGGATATGAGCTTCTTCTTCGAAGGCTGGCTGCCATCGTCGTCTTGGGCACCGACGGCAAAGTGTTTCAGGGAGCTTTGGGCGCCCATGACGCCGCTGGCTTTCCTCTGGGCTCGTGGCACCTTCAATGCCGCTGAGGCTTCCATGACCGAGCCGTTGTGGGCCAGAAGAAATTCTAGGAGCGTGTCCTGGTCAAGACTGGGATGTAGCGACGACAGCAGCGCCAGTTTGAGATCTGTTGGTTCGTCATCATCGTCACGCCTAGGTGGCAAGTCCTGAGGAGGAGGACTGAGTTTGCGCTTCTGTCTGACAATAAAGGCGTCCATAATTATTGTAAGAACAGAGAAACAATCATGCTGCTGGTTGGGATGACGCTGGTAACACCGCTGACCGAGTCGCAAATGTCGTTCTCGTCGTGGAAAGGGCGTGGGTGCATCTATCGAGGCCCCGCTTTGGACATGTGAAGAGGCCCCACGCTCGCGAAGTAACCACGAGAACACGTGACGCGGGGTCTGCGACAGCCCCTCCAAAGGTGCATCGCCGCCTTGTCATATGCGCCGGTCAACCGAGGTCCCTCCGTCTGACCGTGACATCACGGCCAAGTCCACCTACTGCCGTGCCCCGACGGCTTCTGACCCCAACCCTCGACCCAATTCCCCGGCGCGCCTTGGGCAAAGGCAGGCAGGCAGCTCTTCTCGAAAATCATGTCGATGCTGGAATTTCGGACGCAAGGGTTCAATCCCTATGCTGTCAAGTATTCCCCCTACAACGACTCGCGCCTAGCTGTCGCAACGTCGGCAAATTATGGCATCGTCGGCAATGGGCGCGTCTTTGCGCTGGGGCTTACGGCACGGGGCATAGAGGTTGAACGGACGTGAGAGACCCGGAAAGACGCTCTTCAGGAGTCACCACAGTCGACTGACGAGTTGCAACAGCTACGACACGAACGATGCCCAATACGACCTTGCCTGGTCTGAGATCAACGAGAACCAGCTTATCGTGGCCTGCGGTGATGGGTCAATAAAGCTCTTCGACGTCGGTGTCAAGGACTTTCCCGTCATGAACTTCCACGAACACAAGAGGGAAACATTCTCCGTGTCATGGAACCCCATCACCAAGGACACCTTTGTCTCGAGCTCATGGGACGGCTCCATCAAGCTGGTAAGCCAAGACGCCTGCTCGTGAGCTTGGTGGTCAAGACCCCAGCAGCATCCGGCTGACACGTACAACCCTCGTGCAACAGTGGTCGCCCACCCGTCAAGACTCGCTACGCACCCTGCCTATCGGCTCGTGCACGTACAGCACGGCCTTCCAGCCCTCGAACCCTAGCATCATCTCGGCCGTCTCCTCCGACTCGCAGATCCGCATCTTCGACCTCCGAACGCCCGCCTCGGCACGCTACCACCTCACCTCCGCCATACCCGTCCACACGAGCCCCACGCCGGGGCCGCCACCGCCGGGCGTGCCCTCGGGCCAGCCCGCCGAGATCCTGACGCACGACTGGAACAAGTACCGCGACACGGTCATCGCGACGGCGGGCGTCGATCGCGTCATCCGCACCTTTGACATTCGCAACCCCGACGCCGGCCCCGTCTCCGTCATGCCGGGCCACGAGTACGCCGTCCGCAGGCTGGCGTGGAGCCCGCACGCCGCCGACGTGCTGCTGAGCGCCAGCTACGACATGACGGTGCGGCTGTGGAACGACGGCTCGGCCCAGCCGCAGGCCATGGAGGGCCCGAAGATCGGGCGGCAGATTGGCATCATGAACAGGCATACCGAGTTCGCGACGGGCGTCGACTGGTGCCTGTTTGGGGCCGGGGGGTGGGTCGCTTCCGCGGGCTGGGATGAGAGGGTCTTGCTGTGGGATGCGAACATGCTGCTGTGAAAATTGACATGACGAGACACGATGGATGAGGAGGAGGCGCGTTGAGCGAGGTGCACAGGCAAGACGCCAACTATGCATGGACTAGGCGGCGTGAAATTGTATTTTCGGGTAGTAGCTGGCTGAGCTACCCCAAGTGGCACAGCCACCCCTATCTATACTTGCGAGTCCGCATGGTAAACCCATGTGAGAGGCTGAGAACACAACATCACTTGCCATTCTTGCACCGAATATCATATCAACAGAAGACAGGTCAAAAGTGCACGCTGGGCCTGACCAGCGTCG